ATTTTGGATTTCAAAACATACTTTCGCTTTAGATCCTTTACGTATTAACAAATATATATCGGAAATTCTATTTGATATAATCGAAAGTTTAAACTTACTTTTATAAAATTGCTCTTACAGTCTGCAAAAAATAATAAGCCGGATCCAATTCGAAAATTAAGGAACAGCGCAATCATCAACATTAACTGAAATAGATAATTATTTAGTTTATACGTCCATTATAACACGCACGCGAAAAAACGTCCATAAAACGCGCACGCGAAAACGTATTCTGCACTTGCGCACACTCATATGCGCAGTCGTAAAAGGTCTTACGCGCACGCGTAAATGCCTATGCGCATGTGTCAACGCAGCGCATGCGCATAGGCGCATGTAAGTTTTTAGTTTTGAGGTCTGAATTAACGACTTTTGACTTTACTTATTTCATCAGTTCTTTTTTATTTGTCCCCAAATTGATTTCTTTATTAATGTATTTTTTCACCGAAAGTGAATACCAAATCGTAAGATTGGTATCATTGTCAGTGACAAGAAAAATATTACCACATTTGTATTAATTACGGTGGCTTTCCCATGTATAATATGAATATGAGCCAGTTCCGCTTAGAAAGTCCTCAGCTGAAGCTTCAGTTCTCTTAGGCAGAGAGCCCTCAAATACACAAGAGTATTAATTATGGGATTAACATCACTAGAAATGTAACTGACAATAGTAATTATAGATTGTTTTTGATGCCTATTAAAACATATAATATTATGATAATTAACTCAAAACGTGATACGCCCAACCAAAGGACAAGCAGTAAAATCGCTGAACACCAGTAGTTCAGTTCAAATCCCAGCGAACAGGCTGGCTGCATGGACAATTTTGTGATTTTTCCATTGTGTGTCATATATAGGCGCTATTTCATCTTAGGCAGTCCTCCATGAAGCCATCCATCTTTTGGCAGATAGCCCTCGAGCGCTTTATCGAATAAACCAAACCAAAAAGAAATATTTCAGCTTAACCACAGATATTAAATTTTAAATAGTCCTATTTGGTTCTTAGGCTATGGAATTATTTGAATGGACGTGAAGGAAGGATACCATAAAAACTGCACATATAATATTAATAGGATGTGAAAATAAATACATATATTGGCCTTTTTTAGTAAAATCCCGATCATAAGTATTAACTAATGAATTTAAAAATAAATGGTAATAAGTACCTAATTTAACATAGCTCATTAGTCCTTAGTCCTAAGTCCACTAGTGGCCGAGCATTAACATCACTGAACGCTAGTAGTTTGACCTGGAATTGAGTTTTCTCCATGTGTAATATGAATACGAGCCAGTTTTCTTTGAAAAGTCTTCCACGAAGACATCCCTTCCCATACAGAGATAGCCCTCCTTCGTCTTGGTCAATTAAACATAGTCGTAAATAATAAATTGTTTTTCCTCCGAATATAATAAATTGTTCTTCCTTTGTCCTTCATGAAAGTATAAGTTGTCTATCTTTATCTCAGCATCTAATTGTGTCATTTCAAATCTTGATCCAGAGAAAAATTCTTAATTCATTTTTCAAAATTGTTTGCATCACCGAGATCACTATCATATTTTTCCCCACCATCGCATGATGATAGCGATGATTTTATAAAAAGCTATTTACATTTTTCTTCTACTAACAATTATTTTTCATAAATATTTACTCTTACCTACTGAGAATTTTATTTCCCAACCGTCTCGAAACTTTATAACAGTAAAGTATTCATAATCAAATATCATTTGGACCCTTTTTATTAGCTATTACTTTCGGTAAAACGGAAGTATTTTGCTTAGGGTAAAAAATGCATCATATGATTTCATGTACTTTCATTACTTTATTTTATCAACAACAAAAAGCGATTTAATCTTATACGATATTATTTGTGAATGATTTTTATATCATGCCAAGAAAATTTCTCAATAGTTCTTTTTAGACAAGAAATTAGGAGGGTAAAATTAATTTTTCTTTAAAGAAAAGCACTTTGTCCTAATATTTCAATAATAAAATGTCCATACTTCACATTCACACAACTAAATGAATTTTGATACAAACATATAAATGATACATTAGTTTAAAATGGAATTACATGATCTGAACTCTTTCAAAAATCTCATTTTTATTTCAGAACACTTATTCAAAATGTATATTGAAGTAACTGTTTTATGAACTGTTATAGTAATTTTAAAAAATACAGTATTTTTAATCAATGCACATAGCTAAATAAAAATTATCTCAAATTTGTATTTCTACACTCATTGTAAGATACCTGTTTAAGTATTTATTCTATGCTAAAAGAAATTATTTGTAAATTAGGTGAGCTAAATTCTTTAAAAGTTATTCATGGGTTCCGTATAAATTACATTTACTTTCGTTTGAAGGCTTTTCAGTATTTTCCAGTGTCGGTATGAAAATCGTCCTCCGGTCAGCAGATGGTACGGCTAGATGTCAGGTTTTTATTTATGACCCTCCCATTGTAACATCTTTCTCTAACAATTGCTCTTTCCCTACTACCAATTAAGCGCAACAGGAGGTCGGGGAAATGACAGTACAGAATATTCCATCCTCAACGTTTTCGAGGCGGAAAATGTGATGCAAAAAAAATCTTCTAAAATGCTTTCGGATCCATCAAGAGGTGACAAAATAATCCGTGTGTGACGATTTGGAAAGCCATCTTTCAATAGGGAAAAATCCGTCGGTAACACTGAGAGGGTTACAAACATTGTGGAAAATAAACATCAAATGAACTTTCTCAGTTTTAGACAATTCAATTTAAATGCAGTCAAAGTAAAGTAGCAGACGATAACACAGCAAAGGTAAAAATTTATTCTTACAAATATTTAAAAAAAAAAAAAAAAAACTGATGTGTGTACCACATGACTTCCTTGTATGGAATATTAAATTATACGCATTTTTTTTTCATTTCATTTAACTTATTGAATTTAATTAAATCTACTTCATTGATAGCGCATAAACCACAATAGAATAAATGCACTCTTTAAAATTCACTGTATTTGTTTACCATAGCGACACTCTGGCACTAGGTTCACTTAGCAGTGCTACATTTCAAATTTATATCATCTTAAGAATTATCTAAGCATTGCCATATGTTCTATTCAAATGCTTTAATAAATCTAAAATGATGTATGAGAGAAATTAAGCAAGGAACAACAACAAAACAAAACAAAAAAAAATTTTTCACAGACGATTCAGTATTTCTCATTCAATTCTCACTTCGCAACAAGGCAAAGATACATAAAAACTCAAAATGTCTGCATTGAAAATTCTGAACTAAATCTTAAACACTTATTTCCTCGTTTGTTTATACATTTATTAATTATGGATTAAGCATGATTTAATTCGCAATAATAAAAGGCGTTATCTTTGTTATTTGTAAACCTTACTTTCTCTAGATTGGCAGCAAATCTACTATTCTGTTGTTTCAAATGTAAACAAGCAATGGCTGACATGACAAAAATTATTAGGCTTAGTGGCACTTAAACAACTTTTAAATTTTTTATAATTCTAAAAATATTGCATACAGATTTACTAAAGGCATAAAAATCTTAACCGGAAGATAAGAACAGCATAATTCAATCATTATTAAAGCAAAAAATGCACAATTTACAAACGTATAAGAATAAAAAAGCTGAAATCACTGAGCCGAGTAACAAAGTGGATCTATATATGTACATATATTATTTATATACATTTTGGTGCCGCCGATTGCAGCTAAAATACGAGGTGACATGTACATGTTGTAGCAGTACAAAATTTCAACGTTCTGAGGCTGCTTGTTTTTGAGTTATGCAAGATATATGCATACGCACAGACACCACGAAAAATTCTCTTTAGAATTTATTTTAAATTAGTTTTATAATTTTTATGAGGTAAAAGAGTCCTTATTCTGTCCTTACATACAGATGTCAAGCAAAAACATCATTAAATTGCATTCAATAGCGATGAAAATGGATATTTGCATTGAAATATGAAGCCTGAAACTTTTCGTGATTACAATACTTCTTTTTTACTTCGTACAAGAAAGTAAAAAAGGAAGAAAGAAAGAAATTTTAAAAAAGTTAAAAATTTGAATAATATCATCTATAATTTAAAAAAAAAAAGCTTTTCATATAGTATTAATAAATATTTATTACGCATCATTGAGGGAAAAAATTTCATATAATTAATTCTCCGTAAATATTTATTTTAAATTTAAGGTTGAAAATAGCTATGGCAATTCACTGTAACAAAAGTCTATAAACCATATTTGGCATTATTATCACTTTCAAAAAAAAGATGCAAAATTTCACAATGCAAAAATATGTAAATTCCTGTATATCTTAGAAACTTTAAATAAAAAACACTAATTTTTTGCAGGTATGCTTAGAACTACACCTACTTTCAGATGATGGTAAAAATTTTAGAGGTTATAATTCAAAATTTTTTCGAAAAATTTATAAAATTATTTTAAAATAGAAATTTTAAAAATAAAACATAAAAAATGGATGAATTTTATCTGGAGTGAACCTAAATTTCGAAATGGAAAAAGAAAAATAAAAAAAAGCTTAATAAAAAAGATATTAATAAATATATGCCAAATTCAATTAACATTGAGAAGCTAAAATTTTGAGAGCTAATTTTTTAAAAACTACTTGTACGATTTTTACAAAACTTGGCAGTCTGGCATAATTTGAATCGTAGAATCGAAATATGTAAAAAAATTGGTATGTTATTTCAGAAAAAGTCCGATTTTCCGTCAAAATACCTAGGTTAGAATAGTGCTATATATAAATCTAATATATATCATACGTCTCGCTTTCAAAACATCAAAAATGCAATTTAAATTTTGTCAATCGGCCCAGTAGAACGAGAGATATAAAACTGTCCCCCCCTTTTTTTTGCGCAGTGTACCATTTTTTGTTATTATGTATATGAACATGTGTAACATTTTTTATGTTTGAAAATGTCTCTAGTCCATCAAAAACTGTGGCTGCAAGTGTATCTCCAGTTGTAACTACTACTGGAACTGTAACAACTGCATCACCAACTGTTGCTAGTGTAAGTTCACCAGTGGTTTCTTCACCCATTTCTGAAGGTAGTCAGAATGTTGCAAACATTCAGCTGCCCACAATGGCTGGTCCTCCTGGCACTAATAGTGGAACACCAACTACACAAAACGAAAATATTGGTACTCCTTCAGATCAAGGTGAAGGAGATGAAAGGTATGGTTAAGTATTTTTTTACTTCTGTGCTGTCAAAAAAAAAAAAAAATTTCTATTTAGGATATAATTATTTTAATCCAGTAGTACTTTAGTAAAAACTAAAGATGAAAATGTTATAAGAAAAGTAATTTAATAGGAAAATTAATTAATTTGGTTGTTTCATGACTAATTTTGCTTATTAAATAATTCAAGATGATACATATGCATTGCTATAATTTTTAGCTCTTGAAAATATGAAAGGAGAAACATTAAATTTTAAACTTTATAACTTGAGTCTCCAAACCAATTTTCAAAAATTAAATCTTTTGTGTTTTCATTATTTATCCTTGAATTTTGAGAACTGAAATAAATTTGATTGAATCAATAATAATTAAATAATCAAAAATGAATAATAATTAATACAAATAAATAATTAATAGTAATCATAATAATAATTAAATAATTAACGTCTACTGAAATGGTTGTTAGGATTGTTTTATAAGTTTATAATTTAAATCCTTAGTACAGTCAAATACCGAAAATCCGCCAACTTCTGAAATTCGCGTTGCCTCTCAAAATACAAACATTTAGTTTAGAGGTTCCGGAAACCGCAACATTGAGTACGAAATATTGAAGAAAAAATGCTTACCGAATAATAATTAGAGTCGTAACAGAAATACCAAATTATTGACATCATGATAAATGTTTTTTGTCCTCTAATCTGCATCGAGGTAAGAAAGCAGAAGATTTACTCAACTCTTCTTTCAAGTTCACGATTCACATTGTTGTATTTTCTAAGCTTTGTTATTTCACGAGATTATTTAGTGCTGCCTTTTATTTATCTGGATATTTTGTGGATAAATTAACTCATGATTTTACTGCTTGCAACGCTGAAAAACGTAAATACGTTGCATTGACAGTAATACAAAAAGTGCAAATTCTGCAAGAGATAGGTGCATTTTATAGCAGAATCGTGTGGAATTGCGATACGATTGTGTATTATATACGGGAAAATAAAGAGAAGCTGTTGAAATTTTACAGCAACAGTGATTCTAACACCCAAATCCGAAACCGGAAATCTTTGCATGAGGCGAAATCGGCAAACCTCGATGCTGTGTATATATAATACAATGAATAATATAATCAATTTATATATGTAATAATAATTTAACGCATATGATAAGTTATTGCAATAATGTATATAATAATTTAATTAAATGTATCTAATATGCCTTATTTATTTTGCACTTTTAGTCTAACTATTATGATTTATCTTTTCTGTCCTGAAATCTGAAAAATTCTAGCTAACTTGTAATTTGTTAAATGTTACTTACAGTTATCTGAACAACTATATTATATAAATATTTAATATTTTAAATGAAAATCTCTTCCAAAAGTTGTACTTTTATGTTAATATTTCTTTTTTATATTTAAAAACAAAATTCAATTTATTACATTTAATTTTTTTTTGCATTTAGCTTTAAATAGTTGTAAAATCAGTATTGTTTTATTTTAAAATTAGAGCTGAAGTAGATGATGAAGAAACAGATCCATCTAAGCCTATTGTTTTCAAAGATAAAAAAGAAGCCATAGAAGCATTTAAAGATCTATTAAAAGAAAAGGTAGTTTTATAAATGTTTGGAACTGTTTGTAAAGAAACATATTATGCTAATTTTATTTCCTTGTACAGTATAAAGTCCGTAATCTGAACGTCCATTATCCAGAATGATCTATAATCTGGACCTCAAAGCCACAAACTTACGCGTGCATGTAAGGCGTTTACGCATGCATGTTTAATGCGCCTAAAGCGTTTACCCTTGCGCTTCCGATAGTGAAGAAAGTGACAGAGAGGTTATTGAAAATGAAAAAATTTCGATTGGCAAGTTAGTTGGTATTCTCGACATGACAATTACAGAATTTGAGCAGTGGAACTTTGTAACTGAACAAGAAATTATATCTGTTTATAGAATTAAAGAGAAAGTATTAGCGCAAAAAACGAAGCAACTTAAACAACTTGCATTGAAAGAAATGTTTAATAAAGAACTAAATATTAAGCTTTTTTTTTGGACATTTTGATACCTTTTAAATCATGACTGCTCTTTATTTCATAAATTACAGTTTCATATTTTTAATTGTATAATTTCTGCATGCCATCTTACCAGATTTAAATTCATGATCTATAATCCAAAAAACCCCTAATCCGGAATCGCCGAAGTCCCGACGAGTCTGGATTACAGACTTTGTACTGTACTTGCTCCATATTAAGTCTTTTATCTTGAAAAGAATATTTGGTAATGCACTTTTAGAGTTTTATTTAATTTTATTTTTATAAGAAGGGATTTTAAATAAACTTAAAAAAGTTAATTAACTAAAAAGTACTGATTTTGTTCTTATGGAAACGTATATGTCATAATTTTTTAAGCTTAATCTTTATTTATTTACATTGCTCATTATATTTAGCATTAAGAAAAGTATATTCTGTTAACTTCAATTATGTATTTATATGATTTATTTACTTCAGTTTTAAAAGCAAGAGATTGGTTCTGAAATAAATTTTATTGAGAAAGTAAGTGAATTTTTAAACATGATAACTAAATTAAAAATTGTATATTTAATCCTTATCTTTTGTTTTAGAATGTTCCAAGTAATGCAACATGGGAACAAGCATTAAAACTTATAGTTAATGATCCTCGTTATGGAACTCTGAAAAAGCTTAATGAAAAAAAACAAGCCTTTAATGCATATAAGACACAGAAAGGGAAAGAAGAAAAGGTATGCAAAGCATGTTTTAAAACTTAGTTAAAATTAAATATTGTTTAAGATCCTTTAAACTGTTTTGATTTCTTAAAAAAACAAAAAATCATACTTAAAGCTTTCATATGTGTATATATATATATAACAAAACAATTCTTTTTGAAAACAAAACACAAACATGGCTAGTATTTTTATGCATTGAGCTGCAAAAATTATCATTAAAGACATAAAGTAAGAAATTTAGAATTAATATTTCACAAAGACCAGAAATTGAAATTCATAATTAATAAATTTCAAATAATCATATAAATGCAACAAAGAATTTAAAAATGTTAAAACCAAAACATTTCAAACAAGCAAAACCCAACTTCAAAAAATTAATGAAATTTAAAGAAAAATGAATAAAGCAGAAGAGGAATTCACTCAACCTCAATGTCACTTCATCAGGGCGGAGTAACTTAATTAATTGAAATCTCTCTTCTACAAAAATCCTTGCTTTTCTGTATCCAGAATTAGCCGATGAACCATTTTAATGTATTTTAATTATAAATAGTTCACCCGAAAACAAGCATTAAAACATTGCTTTGGCCTTTCCCAAAGCAAGGAGAAAACAAAGTAAATTCTAATAGAATAATCTTAAATAAGGAGAATTTTACTCTTTTAAAAGAATTGGAAATGAAAGTGAAAAAAAAAACAAAATACTTCAGTGAAAAATTTTAAATCAAAATGTTTAAACAGATAATCCAATGAATTAAGATGCGAGTGAATTCGTAAAACATAGTTGAAAAAATCCTATTTAGAACACATAAAAAGTAATTAAGAACTTCCATCACTCTCATTAGACACTAGTCTAAAGAGGAGATACGAAACAGTAAGGTACGTACAGGTGTGCCATTTTGGCTTCATTAGCAAAACTAAAAAACTTTGGCTAGTCAAAGAAAAAGATTGCATATTAACCCGTTCTGGCACGCTACCTTTTAAAGTTGGAGTTTTGATTTAAAAAAAAAAAAAAAAAAAATCTGATGTGTACACCACATGACTTCCTTTTACAGAATATTAAATTATACACATTTTTTCTTGCAATTCGTTTAAACTTATTGGATTGAATTAAACCTACTTGGCCGACAGCACATAAACCACAATAGAATAAATGCATTCTTTAAAATTCACTTGTTTACCATAGCGACACTCTGGCGCTAGGTTCACTTAACAGTATTATATTTCATTCGTATTATAACTCAGAATGCACAAAATTTATATCATTTAAAGAATTATCTAATCGTTGCCACATGTTCTATTCAAATACTATAATAAAGATAGAACGATGTATAAAAAATTAAGCAAACAAAACAAAAAAAGAAACAGTTTTTCACAGACAATTTAGTATTTCTCATTCAATTAATTCAGTTCTCACTTCACGACAAGGCAAAAATACATAAAAATGTAAAATATTTGTATTAAAAATTATGAAGTAAATCTTAAACACTTATTTCCTCGAAAGAATTCCAGAAAGGATTAAGCATGATTTAATTCGCAATAATAAATGAAGGCATTATCTTTGTTGTTGCGAAGCTACGTTTCTCTAGATTGGCAACAAATCCACTACTCTGCTGTTTCAAATGTAAACAAGCAATGGCCACCATCAGAAAAATTATTAGGCTTAGCGGCACTTAAACAATTTTAAAATTGTTGATAATTGTAAAAATATTGCATACAGATTTACTAAAGGAATAAAAACCTTAACCGGAAGATAAGAACAACATAATTCAATCATTTTTAAAGCAAAAAATGTACAATTTACAAACATATGAAACAGAGTAGATATATATGTAAGATAAAATTATATGAATCAGAATTATAATATAACTATAAACATTAATTCTTCCTCTCTATTCTGAAATCGTAATAACTTATCTGCATTGCGTCATTCAAATTAATCATGCGATCTTACGTAACCGTTAATACCAGATGCCTTCTCGCCTTCGTTCTGCTAACTCCTCCGCCATGCTCCTCTTTCTTTGTTAGAATGTTATAACGTATTAAAGACAGTCGTATCTAATAATTCAATTACTGAATACTGCTCTAAAATAAAATAAAGATATGCTGCTAAAAGTGAAAAGTCCTGAGTCATCATTTTGCTCCGTGCTTCAATCATTATAGCTTCGTCAACCATCTGCCAGAACATGTAATGGAATAGAACTGAAAACATTACATATATATATAAATATATTTATATACGTTTGGCGCAGACGATTGCAACCAAAATACGAGGTGTATTTTGGTTGTTTTGTAGATTTGAGTAATAAATTTATAAAGTTAAATTTTAGTTTTTAAATTTTGTACTTTAAAATTACAGAAAAAAGTTATGTTAGAAAAGTAAAAAGTCTTATCGTCATGGGCTTCTCATGACAACTTTGAATATACATAAGACCATGCTAGTAACAGAATAGTAAAAATAAACCCTATAAAAAATCCATACTTTTAAAAGCGTTATAGGGTATAGACTACTCCAGATTTCTTTAACATACTATTAATGAATTTTAAAGAAATTTCATTACCTTTTAATATATTGATGAGAAATAGAATTTCTTCTTTTTATGTTTCTATTTCAGTGTAAACATTTTTAATTATGCTAATTTGGTTAAAAATAGCATTTGCAATAACTTTTTTAGATATGTTAGAATTCCAATTAATAAGTTTATTAGTAGAAATATTAAAATCTTTGTTTATCAAAAAGTTTAATTTTCTTTAGTTTACAAATACTTAAAACAAGATAAACTATTTCTGTTTGGTTTTATTGAACTTTAGACAATTTGGGTAATGTTGCTGTTTACGATGAGATTAAAATTGTTGAAAGTAAAATTGTCATCAATGTGTCTATAAGTATGTTGAAATTTACTGAAATTGTTATCAGTCTTTTAAGGAATTTAAATTCTTTAGAAAATAGAAATAGGTGACAAATATGAGTGGAATATGAACTTCCCATTGGAATCCCATGTGTTTGCAGGTAAAGAAAGTTTATATATATATATACACTCTTTTGCAAAAAAATCAAAGCACCAAGAAGGGCTTTAGCGATCGTGACAAAATTTGGTATGCAAAAACATCTTGATCGAACATGCAAATGATCAAAGCTTCAAGGCAAATCAGCAGGAATTGCGATCATCACATGCATTTCTGGTGTGCAATTCGCTAAGTATAAAACCAGTAACAGAGGCAGAAAATTTACCTCTTTTTTTTTTTTTTTTTTTTCTGCCATTGTAGTTCCGTAAAGAAGCAACTAAAGATGCCATTATGACGATATCGAAGACCTTACAGACAACTCAACGACTTCGAATAGGGTTGTGTTAACCCATTAACTACCAAAACTACAAGGAATGTTTCTTTTCTCATGAAAATAATAACAAATATTAAATTAGGCATTTATAACACATAAATTTACATTGAACATTTTTAAAAAAAAATGCTCTTACCTGTGGAAAAAGCGAGTGTTGCGTTCGCGCAATGTCAGCGGAATAAGACTACGTATGTTTAGTGAGTAGGATTATACTTGTGTGATGTTTCTTTTGAGTGGAGCGCAGGATTACTTTTTAGCTGTATAACGCTTTCTAAATCTACAAATCACTTTACTTGTAATTTATTTAATATTAAAATATACATTGTATTTCTTTTACAAATACGGATTATTTCATTTGAAAGATTCAAGCATGAAAAGCTTGATTACAATCATGATGTAAAGCTACATTACATACTTTGCATCTATAAACAGTCTGGCTATGGTGTTCTTTACAACGAAGTCCTTTGTATCAACGGACTCTACGATAAAATGTCTACCATCTCCATGCAATGGTTTTTGTATGCTGAATTTACTAGGTCTTCCTGTTGCTGATCTATTTCTGGCTAATTCTACACTCTCAATAGGAGTTTGCAAAATGAATAATGCATTCTCGCGTCTGAAATCTAAAAGAGTATATTTCCAGTAGTAAAAAATGGTGATATTTAGTAAGTTTAGATATGGTCTCACATCATATAATTTATGAGTATTGTCAATTTGACTATTGTCAAATGCAAATTCTGCCTCATATTCCTGTACTGCAAACGTGATATCAATTCTCGTACAACAGGAACAGAAATGTCCTTATCAAAAGACCAATACATTTTTTCTTGAGGTAAAGAATAATATCCTGTAAGCAATATTATTCCAATAAATCTTCTTTTTTTTTTTTTTTTTTTTTTCTGAGCGTATATATTTGTCTGCTCAATGAGAAGAGAGTAAATGTCTAAACCAGAAAGAAAATCGAAAATCTGTGCACTAGTTTTACCTTGTATTTTGTCTTTTATAATTTCTCTTCTATCTCTTTCTTCATGTTTTTCCTGAGACATAACTAACAGTTCCTTTTTTATCCACTTCAAGATTTCAGTCTTCTGCTTTCTAAACTTTTCAGTATGACTATAAATGCTTTTAGAAGGCTGAAACGTACTTCTTACGTGAATTTCAACTTCTCCAGCAGTATCATTTGGTAAAATATCATTATCATTATTTAAAACATTGCCATTCCTTTCTTCTTCGTTACTAGCCTCTGCAATTTCTGGGGGAACAACAACAATATCAGTTTCATTCTGGTCATTATTAACATTATCATCATCTGTTTCTTCATCAAAAAATCTTCTTCTTCTAATGTAAGATACCTCGTTCTAGGCATTTTTAAACAACCAGAACATGAACCAAAACATCGAAAGGAATGAGTGAAAAGGAGATTGACTAACCGTTTTCTGCTGACGTTGCGTCAACGCAACACCTGTTTTCCCTTCCTTTCGAACACAATCATAAACATCTGATTGATGTAATGTTCTGATAAACGGTGACCTTGACTAAAAATAGATCACTCATAAAGACGGTGATTCTTTCGTTAAATATTTTCAGCAAAAATACCCAGTCGACAATTTTGCTTAAAGTAGGAGATTAATTATTATAAACAAAATTATTGTTGAACGCAAGTATTTTTTACAGAAATAATCTTCTTAATATTCCCTACACAAAATCATCTGCTAGTATAAAATATCTTAGGTAGTTATATTTATATACGCATTTATTTTGACCGTTGCGTCAACGTAACACCAGCGGCTAATGGGTTAAGCTGGGTGGTCATACCGAGAAATAAGCCGCCACCTGCAGCGTACAGACATTGCTGTGCAAAGATGTTGATTGTAATGTTTGCTACAAGGAAATTGGCAATGAAATGAAGCCTCTGGAAGGCCAAGGATCACAAATGCGAGGTGAAATAGGACAATTGTTCGCCAGTCCGATGATGATACTAATTGTATCATTGTCGACTATTCATCGCACTACAGCCACATCTATACCTCCTGTGGTACCATCCACCATCTCATGCCGCTTGTTCTGAGGCAAGGTTATGCTCACAGAGGCTTTTAAGACGTTTGCCTTTGACCCCGCAACATCGGAGTCATCTGGAAGTGGTGTCGCTCTTTCTGCTGTTATGGCAACAAAAGAAAACCGTTGTTAGATACAACTTGCTCCAAATCAATATGTCTTGGGGGCTTCACTTACTATTTAGATCAGATAGTAAACTATTACCTCTCCCACCTGAAAAATCACAGAATAGTTGAAAGTTTGCTCACAGCTAGTGCCAGTCAAAGTATTGTCATTGTTCATGATTGTGCGATTCTCTGGCCAGCTGGTGTTAGGGAGTCTCAGTTAGTGGAGATATGACACACATGCTTTGGTCTCCAGTATTATATTTTCCATTTTTAAATTTTGTGTTTAAAAAAAATTGCTTGTGGTCCAAAACCATCTAGAGGTTGAAAATGGAATCAAATCATTTGTGTGTAGTTAGGTGGGGAAACTGAGTTAGAATTTAACTCATTGAATGATGTAGAAAAATTATTATGTCTCAAATCTAATTCATCAACTGAAAAATTTTTACATTATTTTGGCAGAAGCAAAATTGATTTTCTGGTTTGCAGCCCAACAGTCCTGGGCAGTTGATGACTTTTTTTTTTTTTTTTTTTTTTTTTTTTTTTTTTTTTTTAACGTAGGCTTTGTGGTCATTGATACAAAATTTTAAAACTCATTCTCTTTGTCCAATGTATAATGTTCATGAAAATTCTCCATAACCATTAGTTTGTATTTAGTTGCTGCTGAAAGAGGTGAAGGTATTGAATTACTCAAAGTCATTATGCTAAAATGAAATGCATGCAATTATTTGTTAGTGTTTTAGTCAGTCTTTCCTAATTTGTTGTTCATATGTTATGGCTGCTGTTTGTTTTGGGTGTATTTTAAATTTTACCTCCCCTCCTGCTATAATAATAAGCAAGCTAAGAAGCTGTGGCATGATAAGTTTTCAATTCTTATCTTTTCTCATTTTTATCCATGCCATATAATGTGCTATGCTAAAAATAATCTTCATTATTGACTGTTTTTATCTGCTAGGGCAAGTTTCTTGTCACAGTTTTTAATAAACAGTGAAGTTTCTATTGTATGCTTAAAATGCTATTTTAGGAAAAATTACGTGCAAATGAAACTTTTTTATGTCAGGTTTTAAAGTGTTTTTGCCTTTCGTATTTAGCATATACTACATTTTGTAAATTGTGTTATTTTCCCCTTAAAATATGTAGGTTTGTTTCGGTATCTTCCAACAAAATTTGGTTCATATCTTTTTTTTTTTTTTTTTTTTTTTTTTTTTTTCCCTCCTGATTCCCAGAACTCCCCCTCCCTTTTAGTTAACAGTCTGAAATATAATGTCATTTTTAAATTTTGTTATGAAAGGATATTGTTACGAATTTTGTATAATGTAACATAAATGCATTTTAAAAAAAGCGAAGCTCTTCCAGAAAAACAAGTTTTACAGAGGCAAATCTATTTAACACTGAGGTAATTGGCTATATCGGTAAATTGGTGAATATTTTATTGACTAATTTATGTTGCCAAATTTGGCTTGAAATCGCCAAGCTTGCTGACTTTTTATTCTGGTCCTTGAATAGCTGAAGTTGGCATGAATACCTGTGTAACTGTAACCTTATCTGGCCGTTATATGTAATTTTAACCATATATGCTTTCCGGTAAATTTGAGAAATTAAAGATACTAAAGATTTCTCAGCGGCCAGGGGAAAACTGTGTAAGACTGGAGAGAGCATCAGTTCCTAGTTCAGAGCTAACCTTGGACTACTGACAAATCGCCATAAGAGCTTCACTCTTTAAATGTGCTTTGCATTGAGTTGTATTTAGCTTTATTAGTAGTTTGAAATTGTAACCTCTGACTCTGCTCTGTCTTACTGAAAGGAGCTGTACAAGTGTTTTTGTAGAAAGTTCTAGAATTGTAAAATGTTTCTTTTGGGAAAATAAATTTTATCTAACTATCATCGGTTCTGTATGCATTCAGTCCATTACAAACCAGTGCAACAAATTTTAGTATCAGAAGTGGGATTGAATGTCAGTGACAAAAGCGATGGAGGAGAAACTATGACTGCTTTTGCTGCCTTCCAAGGAAAGATGGAAGGGTTTATCAAGTCTCTTCAACTAGAGATGAAAGCAGGCCTATAAAAGATGGAAGGGACCATCAGCTCCATTAAATAAAAGATTAAAGCAGGTCAAGAGGAAATGAAAAGAGAAATTTCTGCCATAATAAAAAATATGTTTGAGGCTGTGGAAGGTAGAATAGATAAAGTTGGAGAAATTCAAGAAAGAGGTACTGCTGCTATCACCAAGGAAGCTGATAGCTTGAAGAAATCCATAATGACAGGTGGAGAAATTCTGATGACTTTAAATTTGTATTTATGTCTTCCGGACCAGCCCCACTCTATGCTATTCAACATGTGATGGAAACGCTCTTAGCAAGTGTACAAGACTGAGTTCTTTGTAGTGGCAAATGCAAGTGGATTGGATTCCGAAACTAAGGCTTGTCATCTTGCCTCTTCACTGAGAGTAGATGCAGCAGATACCCTTCAAATTCTGTCCTAAAAACCACAGGCTGGACTTCGAAGCTTTATCCGGCATGTGTGAGCTGGGGTTTGAGAAGAAATGTTTAAAATGCTCTAGAAGGCTTCATCTGAAATCTCACCAACAGAAGCACATGAAAACAGAGGTCTCCACAGATGTTGAAGGGTTGTCACATCTTGCCTTTTAAGACTGAACAGAAATGAGAGAAATCTTTGCAGTACTTCATAGATAGCATTTGTGGTCCTGAGATACAGAAAGCTCAGTGAATGGCGGATATCAAGGTCTAAAAAGGGCTTTAGTGTATGCCATGAAATTTGAAGCAGCCTAGCAAGCAACCCATAAAGACCACCACCCAATCAGAGTTGCTCATGTTCAGGAACCAGTAGATCAAGTGACTGCCTGTCTGGACGATTTAACTATGCAAATCAATGTCTTGAGGAAGAATAGGGGTAACAACAAACCCACTGTAAAATGCTTGAACTGCAGTGGTGAAGTCCACTTACCTAGGAACTGCAGAATACCCCAAGGCATGAGAGCTAAGACTGCTCCCAGCAAAGAGCAGGAAAATTAATTAGTGGCCATCTTACAGGGGAAGGTTGCCAGGTATTCAGAAGTCCCATTTTAAAGCACTTTCGATTTCTGCAATCAGGGGCAGCAGTAATGGACTTTTCATCATGGAACATGTAAATGGAGTTTCTTGCAATATGACCATCGATACAGGAGCTGATGTTGCCATCCTATGGAAAGATCTGGTTCATCGACTGGAAAGTTAAACTCATCGGGATGCAGTCATGTATTACCCTCTAGACTGTGTCCAGTGATAAAATCCATATTGATAGAAAGTTAAATGTTAACATCACATTTGGGAGTGTCACCTCCGATCACACGGCACATTGTAGCAAATATTACTGACCCTTGCCTACTCGGATTAGACTTTCAAAGGAAGTACAAGTTTTCCTTGAGCTTTAAAAATAACAAACTGCATTCTGATGACATAACCATGTTCTTAATTAAAGATGAAGGGGTTAAATCAGTCCACCAAATAATATAATAACTGTAGACGATATCACAGTATAAGGAAGAATGGAATTTTTACTTTCTGAATCCATAGCTCGAAACAAAATTTTTGGTATCTAAGAATATCCTAAGAAGTATCCTAAGAATTTTAACAGCCCCAAGGGAGTGCTAATAGCCTCATCAACCTGTTGAAGACCATCATACCGTGTAAGAATTGCCAATTTAAGTGGTAAAGGGAAATTTATTAGGAAAGGTGAAGTCTTTGCAACATGTATTGCATTAAACAAACTGATAGTACTCCTGAATTTGTGTCTGAAAGTTTAACATCAGAGAATGCTCAACTAAGCAATGAATAGAGAAAAGTGGCAGAATGTGTCTCAGTACTCCAAAAAAAAAAAAAAAAAAAAAGATTTGGAGAAGAGAAATTTTTTATGAGAGGTGCCACAAGTCTTATCGATTTTTTTTTTTCAGCCTATAACATTTTTAGTTAATATTTGTATAAATAAGATCACTAATATATACTGTATTATTAGTACTCAGTTATTATATTCAGCATTTGAGCCTATTTATCAATTTTAGAATTACTTTTACATACTCGAAAAAATAATAAAATATTTATGCAAAAATATTTTGTTTTAATAGGAAGAACAGCGTCTAAAAGCAAAAAAGGCAAAAGAAGAATTAGAGGTGTTCCTTCAAAACAGTGATAAAATGCATTCTTCCATTCGTTACAGGTTATATATGGATTTATCATTTTTATAAATATAGCCATGCTTTAAAAATATTATGTTTATATTCATCAGGTTTATTTTTCTTCTAATAATTTAAGTTTTTTTTTGGGGGGGGCGGGTTAATTTGAGCAATGTATTTTAATACATTAATCATTTAGACTAGAACTAAAATAAATGTAAGGCCTCATTCAATTGAAACACATGTAATCAATAAAATAGTGATCGTTACATCTAGCATTAATGATCACTCTTGAAAATGAGTGATCTTTCATATTTAATTAAAATACACTTCCCTTCTAATCAAATTGATAGGAGTTGCCAGAGGTTACTTGATGCTGATTCTGTTTATCACATGGTCGGAAGTTGTGTTGTTTTCGAGGTAACTAATGATCAAACTCTTACAGATACAGGCTGACTCGTCAGTCATTATGTAACCATTCTTTAGGGTTGCAAATCAGGTTTAGTGCACCCTCTTTGGCCTTTTCAGCAATATTGTTGTCCTAATTTCTTATGAGTTTTTTTTTTTTTTTTTTTTTTTTTTGTTTGTTTTTTTTTTTTTTTTTTTTTTTTTTTTTTTTTTTTTTTTTTTTTTTTTTTTTTTTTTTTTTTTTTTTTTTTTTTTTTTTTTTTTTTTTTTTTATGTATGGAAAGTTTTTAAAGGGTATTGTTTTATTTTAATTACATTTTGAAAATAGCTAACATAAAAAACGCATTCAATTCACATTACATATGAAACTCTCAACTAGTCCCATTAACATATGAAAAATATAGCTCAAGTAAGTTTATGCATACCGGAAAAAAAAGTGATTCAAAACATGTTTTAAAGCAAAAGAAAAGAAAAATGGGCATAGTTCTATTAGCAACTCAAAAAATATATTGTGGTATATTCTAAAAGGAAAATTATGTAATACATAATGATATAATAAATATATAAAACTCTATAATGAATAATGACTGTAAGTGTGTAATAAATGCCGACACACATATCGGGGTATATAACACTACCATGAAAAGAAGAATATTTGATTAAAAATATGCCTTTTACATTTATTTTATAACATATAAGAGTAAAGCATAAAGATGACAAGAAGTTGTGAAAACTTTTGCAACTTAAATGCTAAGAAGTTATGAAAAGCCGTTTAAGTTATTGCACTGATTACCAAAGTGGTTACTTTGACTTACTTATTCAAGTGAGTAAGACACTGATTATTAACCTTTTAACTGTCATGCCCGAGATAATCTCGGGCACAGCACTGGTGTTCGAAAATGTCACGCCCAAATATTACTCGGGGTAATTTTTTTTTTAGTGTATCGTATTGTTATACCCGAATATATATCGGGAGACGTTTATTTCGGCTTCATCTCTTTGTCAAACCCGACTGTATCTCGGGAAAAGTTAATGTGCGCTCAGTTCAATAGATGACAGCACTTTACTGAAGATTTCAAAGGTTAGAGGATGTTGATTGGATTTTTGCAATAAAAAAAAAATTGACAATTTGTGTACCCAAATCATCAAAATAACTTGACAGTTAAAGGGTTAAGGTAAATATAATTTGTTCATTCTTTAAAATCACTAAGTTTTTCATTAAAAATTTTAGAAGTGAATGCCAAAACAAATTTATTATTGATGTCTTTAATGCAAAGTCACACAAAAATTTGCAAATTTCTGAAAACATCAAAATCAAAAGAATTAAATTACAGTATGTATATCATTAAATTATTTTAATTGCATATTAAGAAAGCAATTGTCTGATAAATTTTAATTCATATACACATATTGAACTAAATTAAGAAAAAAAGGTATTTCATGTTCATACATTGGGAACCAATTGACAGGAATTGCAGTTAAATAAAAAAGCTGAAAATATAGTCTACATGATGTATAAAATATGATCAAAATTATTCATTAAATACTTAAATTGATGCTTACCTTCTTCAAAATGAATATAAAATACATGACATATTTATTTTACTTTAAAGGAAACATTAAATAATGCATAATTTTAATCTTAGCAATTGATGGTGTATCACGACTAATGATCACTAAATGTTTGAATTGAATGAATTCTATAATTGTCTGAATCAAAATGTTTATCTTGGTTGATAAAATATTTTTTGAAATTTTAGTTCAGTTTTTGTCATGAATTTTAAAGCTCTAAAAATTGTTTTTTGACTGTAAATTTAACATAGTATAAACACATTTATTATTGAAAATTTTGTGTGGCATCATATATAGAGTTTGGAAGTATTTTATATTTGATTTAATTATATAAGCTTTGGCATAAGTATGAATGTGTTTTTTCGACAGTACTCATACCTGTAAAGATTAGAATAAAAGTTATTTGTTTTCATTGTTATCATCAGTATTTGATATTGTATAAGTATTAATTTAAAATAGTGCATAAAAATTCTTATGAGCCTCCTTTAAACTTTCAAAATTGTAATAAAAAATTTACATAATTATTTTAACAATAAGAGTGCAATGGAATTAAGTCTTAATAATATCATTCATTTAATTTGAATAATATGAAGTTTTATTGTTATTAAAGTACTTTATAATTTCTAAGAGATTTTGCTCTGAATTTTCTGTATATATGAATGGTGGTTTAGTTATTCTCTCATGTTTTGTTTATTATTTATTTTGCATCATTAGTTTGAATGAAATATTACATTTATTGCCTGATTTTAACTAAAACAAAGAATGTTGATACTTATTTTAAAATATGTTGTAGGAAGGCTCAGGAAATCTTTGGAGATCTTGAGATTTGGAAAGCTGTACCAGATCGTGAAAGAAAAGAATTATATGATGATGTTGTATTTTTTGTTGCAAAAAGGGAAAAGGTACCCAAAATGTTTTTATTGCTTTATTCAATTAATAATTAAATTTGTAATTTCCATTACACAATTATTTTATATTGTTGCATTCTACAAATTCGGGGATTTGGAGTGATTGATGACAACACTTGATGAAGAATCAAAACACAATTTATATGCCAGTGTTACACGGGACAGTTCCAAAGACACGTTACAGTCGTCGAAAAACTACAACAAATAGACTGAAATTAGCAACACAGCTGTCAGACTATAACAGTTAAGACAACTTCATGGCAAAGCACTAAAGTACAGCTCCCAACTTGGTTGGTAACTCTTGAGCTAATCTTTGAACTCAACATACTCTATATACTGTTCTACTCTGCATACAGGCTGGGTATCTTTTTACCCGTCTTCGAGAACATTCTCGGGAAAACCAATTGTTGAACATAGAAAATGCCATTGCTTGAAAAACAAATATTTATTACAGAGCAATACGCAGAGTTACATGCAGAGATATAAGAAAGTTACATTCAGAGTTACATGCAGATTTACAAGCAGAGAGTGAAAATGTTTACAGAGCTCATATATGTAACTTTACAACAGATCATGGTTTAACAAATCATAAACAAGACACAATAAATAACCAATCAAAAATAACATTTAAGTTTAGGGATTAAGTTTCAGAATAATTCAGACGTGACAGAAAGCTATACTTCCTTTTAACCAGTAAGAATGTGATTACAAATATCTCAACACCAATAAGGTTTCATTCTAGAATGTTCTTGCTTTGTCTATGGCATGTCACCAAATGGGCGATTTTGCACCAAACCTGGCATCCCTAACCCTGCTGTGCTGGGAAGTTATCTTACGGCAGCTGGGCATTTCATAACAATGTGTATTGATAACCCAAAAATACAAAATTTTCTCGGAGCACAATATACTACTTCAGCCAAAACTTAAATTTGTTCATTTCAATTAATAAACAATTACCCACTTAAAAAAAAAAAAAAAAAAACTTTGTCTAACTTTTTATGACCTACAGATTTACAGAAATGTCCTAAGAAACAGTTTGAACTCAAAAATAAAACACAAAAAAACTCCTCAGAATGTATTTCCTCATAAAATGTCTAAAAGAAGTTAAAAAATAGAATTTATAAATCTTCCTATTCTATTTTAACACCTCACTTGTGTCAGTCAAATCCAGTTCAGGCAACCCAATCATGCGAAATTGGGAATGCCAGGCTGACTTTAGGTGGGAGAGTAATCAGTGTTTCTTTTCTGTGAAGCCCCAGATGAGTTTGTTTCATTTATCAAATGCTTAGAGTTGCAAACTTTCTCAATTTTTACCATACTCCTGCCAACCCAACATATTTCTTCAGCATTCCCCTTATTCTTTATATTTCTCACGATTTTTATCTGGTTTGGTTTAATACTTCATTGTTTGCACCCACAAAAGTGATTCTTTGGTGTCTAAAAGAGTTTGGTTTTTCTCTAGATTGCGTATAAAAGAAAACTAAAGTTGTTTCATCAGTAAGATAGTTTGGCACTGAATACATTGGATAATAGTGCAGCTTTATTTGAAATGTTTCTCAAGCTTGAAATCACTAAGAAATACTCAAGTGCTAAGATAAAAATGGCTGCAATTATAGAAGAAAAGTGTATGAAAAATAAATGTTTAGTTATTGCATTAAAAAGCTACATTCTTCCACTTTGCAGATGGTGGCAATAATACACAAAACTGTGTCCAATTGTTTTTTCTGTTTTAAATCCATAGTCTTTAGAAATTGAGTGTATTTTACTTTCTGTATATTTTTATTATTTAAAAAATCTTTTTATTGTTAAAAATTCTCCTGATTTTTTAGTGCCGTAGATTGACAAGTATGAATGATTAATGCAATGTAATTCACTATTTTGCCAATAGATGGTGATACTTGTTCCACATTTGTTTTAAAGTTAGGTGGGGTTAACTGTAAAAGCTCTTATGAAAAGTGAAAGCATAAAAAAAATTTTCTGTTTTTGACTTTTTTTATACTGCATAGGCAAGAGGTTAACTGAGAAAGGCCCATTTATTGGCTGGGTATAGAGTGCTTTGTTAAGAAAATTTTAGTTAGTGCCTGTTATGTTACTAAAGGTTTTTTTAAAAAAATCCATCTTGTATGCAAAACTGACTCAAAAGAAATTGCCATAATTTCACCTGATGAAAACAGATTATATGAAGTTGGATTCCTTTCTAGATTAAATTTTAAATTTCAAAGTTCCACAAATCATAATTTGAAATGCATACATAGCTATCTTGAGTATTGTTTGCATATGGTTTCAAAATGCTTCAATTAGGTAATTTTGTATAATGATGGGGATTAGGGAAGAGAGTTGTTTTTATTTGATTAATTTGGCTATAATTTTTTTTCTTTGTTCCTGTTGATTGCATTTTTCTCTACAAGGCCTCTATAGAAAATTAAGTTTTATATTTTTGTATTAAAATGTTCAAAATTATTAGAAGACGTACTTTATTTTATTTGTTTCTTAAATGCGAGCCATGTTTGAACAACTATCATTCAACAAAAAAATTCGGCTACCAGTCTTTTAGAATCTTATTTTATATTTTGTCATCTTAAAATAACTGTATTTTAAATATTTATTACATTACAAATACTTATATATGTTTAATGGAATACTTGCTTAATCCAAAGGAAGAAGCAAAAGCTCTAAGAAAAAGGAACATGAAAGTTTTAAGCAGTGTTTTAGATTCCATGACTTCTGTCACATACAGGACAACTTGGCAAGAAGCACAGCAGTTATTGCTTGACAATCCTCAGTTTTCAGAGGATGCAGAATTATTAAGTATGTATAAAATTAAAAATTTTATGCTCACAATTTATTCCAAATTTTACTGAGTAATTTAGATGTCAGAACTCATACTTTATGTTCTAATTTCATCTTCCCTCAGATATGGATAAAGATGATGCATTAATTGTCTTTGAAGAACATATACGGCAATTAGAACAGGAAGAGGAAGAAGAAAAGGAAAGAGAAAAGAAAAGAATACAAAGGCAACAGCGAAAAAACCGTGAGGCTTTTGTGGTCAGTTTTATTTTGTGTGCCTAATTTAATATATAGCTATTCATCAGGAAATGTTTAAAATTTATTTATATATTTATTGATTTTCAGCGCCTTCTAAATCAGCTTCATGAAGCGGGTAAGCTTACTTCAATGTCACTGTGGGTTGAACTTTATCCTACAATAAGTGCTGATATTAGGTTTAGCAATATGCTCACCCAACCAGGTAAATTTTTTGTTGATAGTTTTGTTTTAAATAAAAAATTTGTTATACTGTGATATATATAGGTATTATCTTCTATTGAGTAAATTTTTGTTTATGTATGTGTGTGTATATATGTAAGATAAAAAATATCTTAATTAAAATTATAATTTAAAGTAACGGTAAAACATTAATTCTCTCTCTCTATGGATATAAAAATGATATCTGTAAGGTTTTATACTTTAAAAAATTATTTGTATCAAAATTTTGTGATTTTTTTCCCTCACTGTTTGTATTTACCTAGTTTTGCTAATTCTCTAATGCTTTCTTCTAAAAAGGCTTTTCTGTTGCCACGTCTTTTTCTCTTTGAAGGGGGGGGGGAATATGTAAGATAAAAAATATGTGAATCAAAATTATAATTTAAACTAATGGTAAAACATTAATTCTCCATCTCTATTCTAAAAATCGCTATAACTTCTCTAGATTGTGTCATATCTAGATCATTCTATGGTCTGCGCAGCTCTGATTATGTAATAATTGGAAACTGGAACTACCATTGTGAAACAAAACTTTTCTCTTTGCGTGCTTCCATCTTTCATAACTATGCACTTCAGCTTCTGTCCGTTCTGCACTTGGATGCCATTTCACTATGCTGCTTCCTATTGCAAAAATATCAATAATGTAAATGTTCTGGCACGAATAGGGTGCCAAGTGATCTGTGGCCACATAATGTCAGTTGGAAATAAAAATGGAATTAAAAACGCCTCGAATGCCAAGTTTTACGAAGTCAACACATTAGCTTACAACGCAATCAGAATACTTTCTCTTCAATATAGGATAACTACGCATCCACAGTGCTCCGTCTTTTCCTTGCTTTTAATATTTCAGTTAACTGGTAGGATAGTTTCCTGCAGCCTGAAACCTTAATGGGAAGTTTATTCAGCTCTTCGAATCATCGTTTTGTGACAAATCCAAAGGCAATGTGAAAGAAGTGAATGATCAGATTTGTTTTTTCAGTGTTTAAAAAATAACCAATCATCCTTCTGCTGTGGTGTTTTGCAAGTGCTTCAAAAAACTATCATGCGTAATGTTTACAGATTGAAAGTAATCTCTCGATAAATTGAGAAGTTCGAATGCCTAGTGAAAAAGAATATTGAATTTGCTTCGCCGATCTCTACAATATTTAGAAAAAAAAAGTGCCTTAAATCATCAGTGAATTACCATTTAGGAATTCAGCATTATGATGGGTTCAAGGTCGATCTGAGTTTGTGTTTGCAAATATGTGGGACAAAAAATTATTTGTGCTTCTTCTAGTACTTCGTCAATCAACAGCTTGAAAGTTATCTTTGTGTGAACTTAAGACAAAATTATTTAATATGCTGCAGATTCTATGCTTTTCAAGTTTGCTTAAAATTTCTGCAATTTGATTGTGCTGTTTTGTGAAAATGTGAAATTCTTGTTCATTAATTTTTCATAAGTGTGAGAAATTAAGCAATGAATTTTAAGTTATTTAAACTATTTATAGAGAAAGATATGAAGGTAAATAGTTACATTTTTGAATTTATTTTGGAAATTTTGAATTGTTGATTAGAATTTTTAAGTGCATAAAATAATGTTGAAAAATTTGTGTAGAATATGAAAAAAAAAATAGTGTTTTGAATAGTATTATAGGAATCATTAGTAGTATAGAGTTATGTTAACTGATTAAAAAATGGACGGATCATAATATGTTTAGATAAACTTTGAAGGCTCTCACTTTTTTTTTTTTTTCCAAATATAATAATTAGTCCAAAAAGGCTTTGTCCCTGAAGGACTATTGTTTTCGTTTTGCGATTTTGCGTCGGACTCATAAACGTCGGTTCACTTTTCAAACTGTTGCCACAAAATGTTAGAGTCCTGCATTATATTTTGAAGAAATTAAATAATGAAAAATCTGCATAAATGATTGTCTATTTCCTTTCCCGCATTGTGATAAAACAATGGTACATAGAGCCATCGAATTTTGAATGACGAAAATCCTACTGTCCTACTGTGAATATGGGCATCTGAAATCCCAAATTTGGAATTTGTTTTATTATAGATTTTATATTTTGTAAAACTTTAACGAATTTTTGATTATTTACAAACTCAATGCTTTAAAAAAAGCGAGAAATGGCAACGTTATATAGAAAAAATACTTTTATCTCCAGCTCGCGATACTGTGTATATCGGAAATTCTAAAGATATGCTTAATTTAACAATTATTTTGCGATATTGCTCTTGAACTGAATTTTATGGTTTAAGTGCAAAGAACATGATATTTAATAAATAAAGGTAACACTCAAAACGTAAAAAAAAAAAAAAAAAAAAAAACGCCCCTTTGGACGTAATTTTAAAATCTGAAACATTTCAGATTTCTTTTTATATATATTATATATATATATATATAAATGGAGTGTTATAATGCAGTTTGCAAAGGCCAGTTACCTCATAAAAAGGAACGGAGGCCCTCCAAATAACTGCCTAAATGGCTGGACGTGTGTACTAGGAGAAAGCTGTGGTGTCTTCCAGTTTGTACAAAATAAGTCAATTAAAAATTTTGATAATAATAGTATATTGTTTCAAATAAAAATTTAATTACATTATAAAATTTTGAAATTTTTGCGATTTTGTAAGATGTTTGGAATGTGTTTGAAATTTTTGTATTTGAAAAAGTTTTAAAAGCCTTCTCTAAATAGATATGATTATGAAATTTATTTCCTTATTTTATATTCACAAAATTATATGGTCCATGTTATTATTGTAGGGCAGTGTAGGAATTAATATATCTTTAATTCTGCATATTTGTATATTTTTTCAATTTCAATTAAATAATTTGAAGATTTTTTATAGTTTTAAACTTTGATAATTATACAATACTAGAGACCAATTACCTTTATTAAGGAACTTAGGTTTCTATGTGTAATTAATTGTATTTAAGCGTCCCACAGTCAAGTTGTCACGCTGATTTGCATTTTAGAGGATTTGCCATTTTTAAAGTTTTTTTTATTATTGCACTGAATTGTTTTATTTACTATGTATTAAGTTCTAAATTATATTTTGCATTGCTTTACAATTAAGAAAATGTGGATTATATCATAAATAATCAGTTAAAATTTCATGTATCCGTAAAAGAAAGTTTTGTTTTTATATTGGCAAGATCAATTTTTATGAAAGACTTTCAAGTTAAGGACTGCAAAATATTGATTATGATTAATGTTTAAGCAAAGATTTTACAGAACTGTGAACTTTCTTGAGAAAAATTAGGACATTCTTTATGATGAAATTTAAAACTTTTAATTTTCAATTTAAATTTATTGTTAAAAATGATATGTGTAAGGTTTTATACTTTAAAAAATTATTTGTATCAAAATTTTGTGATTTTTTTCTCACTGTTGTATTTACCTAGTTTTGCTAATTCTCTAATGCTTTCTTCTAAAAAGGCTTTTCTGTTGCCACGTCTTTATCTCTTTGAAGAGGGGGGAGGGGAATATGTAAGATAAAAAAATATGTGAATCAAAATTATCATTTAAACTAACAGTAAAACATTAATTCTCCCTCTCTATTCTAAAAATCACAATAACTTCTCTGGATTGCGTCATTTCTAGATCATTCTATGGTCTGCGCAGCTCTGATGACAAAATAATTGGGAACTGAAACTACCATTGTAAAGCAAAACTTTTCTCTTTGCGTGCTTCCATCTTTCATAACTACACTTCAGCTTCTGTTCGTGCTGCACTTGGATGCTTCCTATTGCAAAATTATCAATAATGTAAATTTTCTTGAACAGGCATGAATAGGGTGCCAAGTGATCTGTGGAAATAAAAATGGAATTAAAGCCGCCTCGACTGCCAAATTTTATTTACAAAGTCAACACATTAGCTTATGACCCAATCAGAATAGTTCCTCTACAATATAGCATAATTGCGCATTCACAGTGCTCCGTCTTTTCCTTGCTTTTATTATTTCATATATAATTACTACCTTGCTTGATATATATTATATAATATATATATATATATATATTACTTCTTTTTTAGGATCTACACCTTTAGACCTTTTTAAATTTTATGTTGAAGAACTGAAAGCACGTTTTCATGATGAGAAAAAAATTATAAAAGAGCTGTTGAAGGTAATATGATTACTTGCATTTCTTAATAACTAAGTTTCATTATAATGATTGTTGTAAAATGCCTACATATGAAAACAAGAAGATTTATGTATATGCCAATACAGTCAAAAGTCGTTAATTCGGATATCCATAATTCGGAATGATCTATAATCCGGACCTCAAAGCTACAAACTTTCTGCGCATGCGCATAAGACCTTTACGGCTGCGCATATGCGTGTGCGCATGCACATAATATGTTTGCGCATGCACACTTAATGTATAACGGACTGTATAAGCTAAAATTCTCTAATTATCTATTTCAGTTAATGTTGCAGATTGCATTGTTCCTTAATCTTCGAATTGGATCCGGCTTATTATTTTTTGCAGACTGTTAGAGCAATTTTATAAAAGTAAGCTTGACTTTCGATTATGTCAAATAGAATTTTCGATATATATTTACTAGTATGTAAAGGATCTACAAAGCGAAAGTATGTTTCGATGTCCATCCAACAAAATTGGAATTGCTGCAAAAAATGAATAAAGGCATATCCTTTGTTTTCTCTAACCATTCCGAAATCTGTTTATCAATTTCACGCTGCTCTGCGGCCGGGGGGGGGCACACTGCGGTGCGCAGTGAATTGGAAGTTGATCTGTCAGCACTATCCTTATCTTCAGGGCAGATGTTTTTATTTTATTTGGCTTATAATACCTTACTAAATGTAGTATTTCATCTCAATGTACTCCATCTTTGATATGATTTAAATCAAATTCCTCATCATTATAATTCGCTTCCGATAGCGAAGAAAGTGACACAGAGGTTATTGAAAACAAAAAAATTTCGATTGACAAATTAGTCAGTATTCTCAACACAGCAATTATAGGACTTGAACAGCGGAACTTTGTAAATGAACAAGAAATTATGTCTGTTTATAGAATTAAAGAGAAAGTATTATCACATAAAAAACAAAGCAGCTTAAACAACTTACATTGAAAGAAATGTTTAATAAAGTAAACAAATAAATATTAAGCTTTTTTTTTGTAAATTTTGATACCCTTTAGATCATAATTGTTCTTTATTTCATAAATTATGGTTTCAAATTTTTAATTTTATAATTTCTGCATGCCGTTTTACCAGATTTAAACTGAATGAAGCCGGAATCGCCGAAGTCCCGACAAGTCCGGATTAATGACTTTTGACTGTATTGAGTGACTGTTCATTCCTTTAATCAATCACCTCTTGCTTTGATGTGGCAACTTGAGAGGTGATTTAGATCACCACCCAGTTTGACATGATTAATTCAGGTGGCAACAACATTTAGTTAGGTTTGGTTTAGGCAGTATCACTTCAAGAGCATATAAACCAACTTCCAATCTTAAATCTTAAATTTGTTTGTTTTTTTTTAATTTATTGTTATGTATGCATCTTTGATATTGTTTCGACTTCAACAGTCATAGCCATATAAATAATATTATTAAAACTACAGAGTCCAATAAGCATCGAATGTGATGAAGGAAGTATTTCAAGTAAAAATGAATTCGATTTTTCTTTGATGAAGAACAAAATTACATCTATGCATAGACAATTTGACGACAGAGAGGAGGAAAGCATTGATGAAGATGGCAATGAAGTAAGAGTTGTAAGAAGATAAAAAAATCAGGATAACAGATAGTGAATGTGAAAGCATGAGTGATTCCGCAGAAGGGACACAGAATTCAGAATGGATAATGTTCACAGAGTCAGAAGAAATACTGTAAAGAATACCATGTGTATCCACATAGAGTCGTAGAACCGCAAGTATCTTCAGACATAAAAGAACTATTAGATTTCTTTAAGTTGGCTGTAGGAAATTCACAAAATATGGGGAAAATTGTCTCGAGTTGCTGATTCGACTGATAAAAGACCTTGAATGCAAAGGCTTAATTAATTGCCCAGAATTCCTTCACTGGAAGGATTCCTTGAGCAATTTTTAGGCTAGTTGTCTGCATGACTGATGAATTGCAACTGAACTTCAAATTTAATAAAAAGGGCAAATTGTTTCAAGCATAAGAAGAAATTATATTAATTTTTTATAAGAAAAATGATTAATTAAAATATAAAATTTATGTGAAATCTAATTTAATATGTACCTATTTTCAAAGTAAAATTAATAAATGTTGTGTTTTGCATTTTAGGAGAAAGGCTTTACTGTTGAAGTTAATACATCATTTGAGGAATTTGCTACTATTGTAAGTGAGGATAAAAGATCAGCAACTTTAGATGCAGGGAATGTTAAACTGACATATAATAGTGTAAGTAAACTCTATATTAAAGTGTATTTATGTAACTTAAAAACTCTTTCATTTAGATTGATTGTTGTTGTCTTGTCCTTATTACATAGAAAAATAGTTGCCAGCCTACCTCAAAAAGAGGTTGGACTTCTAATTTTCCACCCCCAATTTTGAGGGAGAGCACCGGTGGGTGGAAGAATCCGGAGGGTGCCACCCCTCGCTCCTTCCATCAATCCACACGAGAGGACTTTTGGTTTGCTGCATATTTAGAATGCTGCCATCAGGGTTCATACGGTCCTTAAAAGTCCTTAGGTTTTTGTAACTGATTTTTGGTCCTTAATTTCGGCCAAAATTGGCAGAAGGTTCTTAATTTTATCTGTCTGTGTTTATGACTGCAATTTTAAGTGTGAATTAGCAGTTTGGAGGAATATTTTTGGCGATTCACTAACATATATGGTTATCTTTTCAAAGGGTGAATGGGTTCATGGGTTATAATTTTTTCCTATTTCTAATATAAATGGTGGGACACTCGAGTTTCTAAGCAAGAAGTGAAACATAAGCATTTTAAAATTATTTCATTTTTCTCCATGAAGAGCTCTTAAATAACTTTTCGCTTATGGGGATGTGAATTCTTTTTTTAAACGGTTCTAAATTTGGCAACTTATCTCAACATTTTGGCGATTTTAAGATAATTTTCTTTAGAAAATGTTTCATTTCCAGATATGGGAATTTTTAAAAAATTTTTTAAAACATAGTAACATTAATAAATTTCATTAAAATAATTGTAATGTATTGAAATTGTATTTAAAAAGTAACATTAAAATAAAACATTTTTATTTTTTGCTGTGATATTATAAAGTTCTGTTTGGGCAACTTATGCAATATTTGGAATCTGAAAAATAAAGAAGGTACAGAGGTATAAAGTACAATTTATGAAACTGTACTTAGCAAAGGCAAAATTAGTTATGTAACTGATTAAAGTGTCTTCTTTTTAATTTTTTCATGGTAAGAGTTTTTCCCTTGTAATTGTCTCAATATTTAGAATTCTCAGAATATGCATTAGTTTTCATTATAAAATTTAATTTTACACTTCCCCCCCCCTCCAAAATCTTTTTGGCTTTTTGATACTACAGAATTGGTAGGGATAATTTTTCTTTAGGATTTTAGGCATTACAGCTTGGAAAGTTAAGAAGAATTTGAAGGCAAGATTTATAGACCCACAATTCTAGAAGATTCCATAAAATGTGACAAAATGAAAAATGTCTCCATGGTATTAACACGTAGTAGATGTGTTTTACAGAAAGTTTGCGATGAATTTCTTACTTTATGGAGAGCATCTGGAAGAACAATGAAAACGTAATATTTGAATATTTCACTTCTGATACTAGAATCTTTTTTTTTTAACATGTTTATCTTCCCGTTATTTTCTCTACTTCTCACTAGACACAAGTATGGAAAATATCAAAAATGCTTCTAATCTTATCACATGGTCATTATAGAAAGGAATTTTTTTATTAATAAAAAAATTGAAAACTGGCAATTTAAAAGATTCATCTAATATGTCTTAATACATCATACACAGGGCACTAGGCATTTTCTTACCTGATGCATTCTCTGAGGATCCTAAATTCTGCCTAGTGCCTTTCTAAATTCTGCTTCCAATGCTTGCTCTAAATTCTAAAAGTTTTGCCGTTTCTAGATTTTGTTGCTCGGTGTGTCACTAAATTCTAAAAATTCTGCCGCACCAGCTCTGTAACCGGCCCTTACCATATATATTTCAAATTTATTTTGAATGCTCATAAAGAAATAAAATTAGCAGCTTTTTCTACACAATCTAAATGTATTTACACTCATGTCCATAAATTATATATAATGCAAAATCAGGCAAAGGAAGAGTTAGAAGCAGATAAATTGCTTTTCCCCCCTTTCTCTGCATTAACGTAAACTATGGTGCGCACGGGAGTACAGACAGGTGCACATCGTTCTATTGGTTAAAGAATTGCGAAAACGGTAGAAAATTTTGGTACATTCGGTATTCTTTTCCTCCCACCCAAATACTACACACGTTTGAATTTCTATCAAGATTTTAATAATTTGCATTCTCGTTCCGCGTTGTTAGTTCATATTCGTGTTTATTATGATCGTTATGCTTATATTATGAGCATATGCATGAATATTTATAATAATATAGTTGCAGTAACTGCTGAAGTATAGGTAAACTTCCAAAAATGGGTGTTTTTTTACACAGATTAGCTTTCTAAGGAAAAATATTCGGAATGGCTTAAATAAAACAAAAGTAATCGAATAGTCCAAAAAAAAAAAAAAAAAAATTTTTTTTTATTTTTATTTTTATTTTATTTTTTTTTTTTATTTTATTTTTTTTTAACAATACATTATACAGTACGGAGGTTGGGAGGTTTCTCCCCTTCTCTGCAAAATCTCTAATATTGATGCAGCGTTTTTTTTTTTTTTTTTTTTTTTTATTTTTTTTTTTTTTTTTTTTTTTTTTTTTTTTTTTTTTTTTTTTTTTTTTTTTTTTTTTTTTTTTTTTTTTTTTTTTTTTTTTTTTTGTTTTTTTTTTTTTTTTTTTTTTTTTTTTTTTTTTTTGTTTTTTTTTTTTTTTTTTTTTTTTTTTTTTTTTTTTTTTTTTTTTTTTTTTTTTTTTTGTTGTCACTGTCCAATCTGGATTGAATAGGACTAAAAGTTTTGCGGTCTACCCAATCCAAGTGAAGAATGATTCTATTCCGAAAATTGAATGCAGTCTGTTCAAAATTATAGTCAAAAACACCCCAGATTAGTCTCTTTCTTTTCCTTTATTTAGTTCTTTATTCTCCGAATACCTGCAGCTGTTGATTCGGATTGCCTAATATCACATATGGAAGAATGCACGTATTGCGCGCGGTATTTCGCAGAGATAATTAATTTTGATGTTCAGTCTGAGATTTATTTATGAACACTTAAAAGAGTTTGATTGTGCTTTCTAAGCAGAATATTTCTCAGTTCCGTTGGTCTATTTTTATATGATGCACATATCGAAATGTCAAAATCGTTTATTTAGCCGAGAAATCTAAAGAACGGCTAAAATCTCCCCCCCCTCCTCTTTTTCCAGTTATGCTCGACTGTACGGAATATTTGGCAATTTCCAAGTATGCGGGTTAGTTAAGCTTTTACTGTTAAAGGATGGCTGCATGAAGCAATTTCCCGTCTTCTGATTTCAGAAATATGCCTCTTTTTTACTTAAATTACTTTGCTTGGAATATATGTTAATAGGGTAAACTGTTATGCAATGAAAATTTAGAAAATGTTCAGAATTTTGATTTAAGTTAAATTATTTAAATATTAATAAGAGTGGAAAAATAAATTGTATTTATTATTTGGTGCCAAACGAATACAATTAATATGGCTTATTATTTATTTTCTATATTTTAAACTGAAATTTCATCATTAAATCTTGTAATATAGTTTAGTTCTGCATTTTTCTTTCATTGTAAACTAATTCTGTAAATTGAACTGTCATTTAAAATTTAAGGGGGGGAAGGTGGTACTATTCTGTTTTGAGGGCCTTAAAAAAATTGCAGCGAAAATGTATGCACAAAAGTGCCAAATCTAGCAAACACGCCCCAACTCAGTCATGTTTAGCCTTTTTCATATAAATTATAATAATAAAAAAGTATTATATGAAATTAACCTTTCATCTAAAATAAAACATCAATCTTAGATAGTTATTTACCATTATAATTCCTTTCTTGCCGAAATTTTTTTTTGGCAGCATTGGTGATTTTATAGTTTGGCGATTTTTTATGACTCTCGAAACCGATTAGTAACGAAAAGGTTAATTGTTTTCCATGGTTGAGGTAATGCTCATTCTCTTAATAAATATTGCATTGCTCATATTTTAAATTACAAGTCTAATTTTTCTTTTGAGGTTATGCAGTTGTGTATAATGTAATTAGACAGGTGTTTATTTTTTCCTTAAAATGTGCTTGAAAAGTGCTTATAGGTGCTTATTTTTTTAACTAAAATGTGGCTACGAACCCTGGCTATAAAAATGCCAAAAATTGCTAAATCTTGTTAGTAGTTCCCTCTGCCTTGACTCATCAAGATTATTACACAGTATTAACAAACTTGGTTTATTAATGAACTAATTACGAAGGTTGGAACTTTAATAGTGGCAACTATTTATTTACAAGGAATACAAAAGTGATTCATGTCACCATGTTTTACAGTCCTTCAATATAGTCGCCAGCATTGTGTACAACCCATTTCCAATGATGTGGAAGTCGCAGAATACCTGTAGCAGCGCCTATTTTGTTGATAGTTTGAATGGACTGGTCTACTACTGAAAGAATCTGAGGAACAATTTGGAAGCGAGTGCCACGAAGTGGTTCCTTCATCTTAGGAATTAAGTCATAGTCACAAGGGCTTAGATCTTAGATCTTAGATCAAGTATGGTGGATGGTAAAGCACTTCCCAGCCCCATCGCTTGAACAAATCAGTCGCAGCTTGCGCTGCATGCGGCCGAGCATTGTCATGCAAAATGAGAAGAGCGTTCTGCAGAAAGTGTCGTCGTTTTTTTCTCAAAGCTGGTCGGAGATTGTGCTTCAAAAATGAGCAGTAATACTGCGCAGTGACGGTATGCGTTAGGATGACACCATCACAGTCGTACGCGAGAATCACCATAACTTTCACATTGCTGGGGTTCTGACGAAATTTCGAACGTCGTGGTGACCCGTGATGACGCCATTCGTTTGATTGCCGTTTCAGTTCTGGCTTGTACAATCAGGCCCAAATCTCATCCAGCGTAATGATACGGCGTAAAAAAGCATCTCCTTTGCGCTCATAGTGCTCCAGGTGGGTTCGGACAGCATCGTATCGTAGCCATTTCTGCATTTCCGTCAATTGATATGGAACCCATCGTGAAGCAGTTTTTCTCATGGACAGGCGTTCCTTCAGAATGTGCAGCACAGTCGTATGCACTAACCCTGTTTGTCCGGCCAGCTGACGAATTGTTTGGCGGCGAACACTGTCCATTAGTGCGGCAACAGCTTGCTCGTCTGCATCGCTGACACTCGGACGACCTGGTTGCAGCATGTCTGCCACGTTTTGCCGTTCTTCATTGAATGCTTTCACCCATCTTGTTACGGTTCTGTAAGGCAATGCAGATTCCCCGCAAGCCTCTTGAAGCCCTTGATGACACTGTCGTGCTGTACGACCTCTGGCCACATTCAATTTTTTTATGCAACATCGTTGTTCTTGTTTTGAAAACATCCTGACAACACTTACTTTAGACCGCGAGCTAATACAAGGATCCATTCTTCGCGTCACTTCGCATGCGCGTGACGTGGGCAGGATGACTCTTTTTGCTGAGAGGTAAGGTAGGTATGTAGTTCACGTGTGGTATGTGCGATATTCTTTGGTTTTGTTGCGTAGCGTTTTTTCAGCTGTGTTGCCACTATTAAAGTTCCAACCCTCGTATATACACCTAGCTGTATGCTGGGGAATCGCGTTCTATTCTCTACCTCTCTTCATTCTGCGCCCTGTAACGGCTTTTTATTATAATTATTATTATTATTATGCCATCTATTGGCAGATTACATTTGGCTATTCTGTTTTGACAATTGTCTCGATTGTTGAGAGTACAAATTAATTTTTCTAATTACTACATATTTCTGCGTTAACTCATATGCACATTATCTAACATATATATTATGTTTACATTAATCTTATATTGTATAATACATCTTACAGATACATTTAATATTGTAATGACTTACTTAAATTCACACACATATATATATATATATATATATATATAATATATATTACTTAAATACACTCAAATAATAATGAAAATTTTCTCTTAAGTTATTACTAAATACGTGATAAATTTGAAATTACACTGATTCATTATCAGTCCTAAAATGATAAGCCCCTAATATAATGCACGTTAAGTCTTTCAGTCTAGTGTTCAGTAAGTTCTCAAATGTCTAAAGTCTTTTTGAGGCCTTGTGAGCAATAACATGTATATAAACATAAAAATAAAGGAAAGTTCTCACCTTAATCATAGTGAAAAGTACCTTACCTTAATCCTTACGAACAGATCTTCATGGATTTTTTTGAGGAGTCGAGCTCTGTAACTGGTCTGTGTCTTAGTCTTCATAGTCTTCAGAACTAGGCTCGCACTTCCACGGTTTTAGTTGACCCACATAAGCTGTGATGGTGAAATAGTGACCTTGATCCTTTGCTTCTAGTTGTGTTATTTTGTAAACATCACTATGTAATACTTCTGTTTTTATAAATAGCCCTCGATATTTCATCTGTGTTTTGGTAGATTGACCTGTAGTTTTAGAAGCACATCTCATCACAACGATTTCTCCTTGTTCAAATATTAGTGAATGACATCTCTTTCTATCGAATCTCTCTTTCATTTTTGCTTGCTTCTCCTCCAATTCTTAGTCGCTTTTGTTCTTGGATTTCTCACGGATTGTTCCATGTATCTGAATCTTCATCTGCTAACTTCCTAAATACACTATCATTAAATCTGGGCCAATATCTATGTAACATTGCAAATGGTATCTTATCTCTAGTACCATGTTGTTCAGATTTCTTTCTGTCTCTTTTATTTTGAAATTCCAATCTGTATGCTGTTTATCCGATGAGCTTGTTGTTATCATTCCTAAAATTGTTCTATTGACGTCCTCTACCATACTTGGGGGGAGGGGGGCTTGGATGTTTGGTAGAGTTCAAAGTATGATGAATTCCATTGTCTGTGCAATACTGCTTTTATTTATGAGAAATAAAACAAGATCCTCTATCACTTATTATCATTCCAGTTAACCAAAATCCTTCAAAGACTGTAAAACAATTTTAGCACTAGTATTATTAACTGTGAAAATTCTTTCAAACTTTGTCATGTTATCAATTATCTCTCTAACAGTTCTTGATTACCTGTGGAACTCTTTATGAAAGGGCCCAAATGATCTATATGAACAATAGCAAAAGGTCTTTTACCAGGTTTTATGAGATGTAACAATCCTTATTGCTTGAAACCTGTCATTTTATTAAGGCATTCAGTGCACTCTGTGGTGTAATGGCCGAAACAGCTACACAAAACCCCACTTGTTATACAGAATTGAAATGAAGTTGTAACTCAAGTTCTAACAATAACATGAATTTTAATAAAATAAAAACATTAAAATTTGAGGTTCATGTCAATGTGGGACTTGGATACATTTAGTCCAGTAATTTCAGAAAGTTATTAAGCTGGAAAATGTGCTATTGCTACTAACATTATATGCGATCCAGCAGGATCAAGTCCTGGCTCTTTTTCGGGGGGGAACCACCTTCCTTTCTCACTGCTCAAAACCTTATTAACTTACGGTGTCGTTACCTGCGCTAAACTCCGGGGGGGGGGGGGACTCCTTCACTCATGCATAACAAAGGTGTCCAGATTCTGACCCTGATGAAAAGCCTTCTTTTATCTCTTTGACCATTTGAGTTACCTTCAAGGCTGCAACCAGAATAATTAACAAAGCGTCCTCGTTGCAACAGGATATTTCTCCTCTGGTGTGAAAGAGTACCATTGCATTCGGAAATCAGTCATCCTGGGCAAACTGTGTGTCCATAACGTACAGACAAAGAGCATCTGCACGACCTTATTACAACACTTATAATATGTCTTCTTACATATTGTTTCATGCCTGAGAACCAATACAATCCCATAATTTTGATAACTGTTTTGTCCACAGAACAAGTAAATCATGAAATTTCACTGCTACACTTTTTCTCATGTTTTTAGGGACAGCATAAAGAAATCGCTCTTTTCCATCCACCATGGTTTTTCAAAACAGTCTATTTATTTTGAACGCGCAATTCCTAATTATTTGTTTCTCCTCTTGTAGTTCGTTTATCTTGTTTCTTCTTGAAAATGTCAATTATTCATTTCAGTTCTTGGTCAGTATGTTGCATCAGTTGTATTTGTTCTTTGGTTATCAACATGGGACAGTGCTTACATTCTTAGATAATGTCTTGTAATTTTCATTTCAAATTAACAAAAATATTAAGTCTCCCCTCCTCTAATTAGGTATTTTTTGTTATATCATAAATTTTCTAAGTTGGAAAAAAATTTAATAGTATATTTATTTCAGTTGCTGGAAAAAGCAGAAGCTCGGGAAAAAGAAAGATTAAAAGAAGAAGCACGAAAGGTATGCATATTGTTCTATAAATTAATGTTTTAGTCATATATTTGAAGTGTTCAGTGAAAAATGTCCTATTTTTTAAATTAGCTATTAAATGGTTTCCATGACTTATGTCAATAGCATATGTTGATTGCTTACAGAAACATAAAAGCATATATTGATTACTGAGTGTCTTCAAATGATGTTTATGTAATTTTAGTTTTAATAATTAAAACTTCTGCAAACTTTTCTGTGATTTAACCAGTGAGCATTTTTTAAAGTTGAAGAAATGTTTCTAGTACTGTCATAAATTACATGTCTAAAAACATTTCTCCAGGCTTTTAAAAAGTAATAAAATAAATGCTTTATATTAACTTTCAGCTTCTTTTGAATGAATTTTAGTATTATTAAAATGTAAAACAGAAGCATCAGCTTATAGTTGGAAACAGCTGAAATACCTAAATTTATGTTAACTATGTGATTGACCATCTTAATTGTCATAAAAATCTGTTTTTTGCCCCCACTTTTTTTTAGCAATGTATTTTTAGCATGTAATTGAGTTAACAGTTAGTCTATTGTAGATACTGTTTAAAATACCTAATATAATAAAAATAATATACATAGTTTATATTGGTAAACTATATATGATTGACCATTTTAATTGTCATAAAAAAATTTTTTTAATGTTATACTTATAATTAATAATTTAATTAGGAGTCATTCTTATGTATAGTTTAAAATTTATAAACTTTTGTCTTTTTTAATCATACTGAAGCCAAGAAATTGAAAATTCTATGCATATGTTGCTTAACTTGCTTTCTTATTTCCATTTTTATCACTTGTTTAGCAAAAGCGACTTGAAAATGCATTTCGAAGTATGCTTAAAAATGCTGTTCCAAGTGTTGATTCAACTGTGGAATGGAGTCAGGTAAAAATTTTTAATTTTTTAAAGCATTAGGTATCACATAATATTTCATTTACTTGTTGCAAATTTAAGTTATTATTAATTCTGTAAATAACTCGAAATCTTAAATCTTAATATCTGATTATTGAATGATTACTTAAATAATTTAATAACAAGAATATAATTAACTATTCGTAACTTTCAAGATTTGGGTAAAAATTCATAAAATAATAATGTGTGAAAAAAATGTAAGAATAGGTTGTAAAAATTATTTAAGAAAGAAAATGATATGAATCTTAGAAAACAATTATTTGATATTTAACTAATATGGTACAATGTCTAAGACCCAGAATCATCAGTACTTTCATAGTTATGGATTTCGGAAACTTCCAGATTATAAATCACCAATAAGATTATATGTAGACAGGTCAAAATTGGAGTTTCACTTGTTGTTTAGGTAAGGTAGGAGAATGCTAATCTTCCCGTAGGACCAGTGCCAGAGTTTAGGGTTGGCAAAAATTTCTGGAATTTAGGAGAGGTACTGGGTAGCAAATTTTTGTTATTTTAGAGAGGTACTGGCAGCAGAAATTTAGGACATGCAGAGATCACACTAAGAAGCAAAATGCATAGTGCCAGGCCTGTCTCGTACCACTCAAGAGCCGAAAATGTAATCATGGCCAACATCAATATCTCAATCGATATATTGTTATTGGCAACATTGCAACTTCCCAACCAGCAGATGTTTGAAAGTGGCATGCAGTAATTTCTCAGTCCAGAGAAAAATTGCATTTATGGTATAACCGTTTCCTTTGAGTATTATTTTCTGCATTTCTAGATTTTGTGAGGTAGGGGACAAATTTGTTTTTTTATCTATGTATATGTCTGGGGATCTAGGTATTGAATGTTCAGATTTTGGACTTTGTACTGTATGAGGGATATACTTGAATATTACTGCATACTGATGGCTTTATATCTATCATTATTATTCTCAGATAAATTTCTAATGATGCTGCAGGTAAACAAGATCTGTGCTCGTTTTTCATTTGCAGTAGTAATGGGAATATAGATTTGCATAAGAAAATTTCTAAGTGTAATCAAAATATTTAAAATTGTGTTTTATAAGGAAAATTCTTAGCATGATTTATCAAAATTTCTAACTTATCACTGCCAACAAATTCTGGTTCAGGTAGAATCTGTTCTCATTACTGTTAACTCTAACAACAGTTTTTTTTCAGTATGTAAGTATGAAACTAATTTGTTAAAGGAACTGAGCATATTTTCTCAAAATTAGAGCAGCAAATTTTTTTTTTTTTTTTTTTTTTTTTGAAAGCTTTGAAGCACCTCCTAAAACCAGCGGTACAGCTGTTGTACCAGGAAAATTACTTTCTTTAATGCCGGCTATGGTACAACTGTCATACCAGTCATCCCCTCCCTATTTTAGAGAATCGCCTATCTGTAGATCTCTGGGTGGTCCATTGTTGTTGCTCAGAATAGCCACTGGCTATGCATTGTTTCCCTCTTCTTATCAGTTTGGCTACATTTTGGCAAAAACCGCAGGTTCCTTCTCGTGCCAATATACTTGAAAATCAAATAGAAGCCATCTCTTTCTCAAACATTAGCGCACTGTCTAATAATTTTAGTACTAACTTTTTTAGTACTCAATTTTGCTATGATTAAAACGTCAGCGATTTTGCACGCTGTTTAAACTTACCAGATTTAATGCTTTTTAATCACAGCAAATAAGATTAGATTAATATTTGAGATTTAATGCCCTTCTAGAAAATACATAAAACCGCTTTTATTGTTTATTTCCTTTTTATACATATGAATAATAATGCTATTTTGATCCTTTTTTAGGGGGGGGAGTGCATAAAAACCCTTAAGAACTGTTAACTCTTTCAAAGTGCTTATATTATGTAGGCAATTTTGTCTGATTTATCAGGTGATAAATAAGAGACAACTGCATGCATAATAGTTTTTGTGATTTTCTTTCATTCAGTGATTGCTTTGAAAGATTTTCGTTCATGTAAATTAAATAAAACCAATTTATCTTTAGAGACCCTCTTTGAGGATGGGATCTGCCAAAAAGTATTTAAATATCATTAAAGCTCCCGTAACTTCTACTAAATTGAATCAAAACATCAGTTACTTTGCATAAAATTTCGGCCAGTTTTATTTGCTGAAATTCTTATACTCTTCAAGAGATAAAGGGAATTCAGACAAGTTAATAAAAAATTTATCTTTAAAAAAGGAATGCCATTTTGTCTGTAATAATGTGTATGTCAACTTACTATTAAATGTGTGAGAATTAGGACAGGATTATGGAAAAGCACGCGAATGCTATCTGTTTAAGGGGATGGATGCTTTCTTGTAAACCTTTTTAAGAGAAAATTGCTCGCATTTAAGTTCCTGATGGAAAACCCCACATGTAATCAACCCGTTCTCCGGGTTTGATTGGATTGATTTTGTTCACTTACTGAATTACATCAAAACACACAACAATTACCTTTATAAAGGAAGGGATGCCTTCGTGAAGGACTTTCTAAGGGAAGCTGGCTTGTATTTACGTTACACAAAAAACATGAATCGAACCCTTTGGCTGGGATTCAAATCTGAGCAATCTACCGCTTTTCTGAAGGGCCCGTAAAAAAATTCATGAAAAAGTATTGAAATAACCGGTTTAATTTACTAACCTGTATTTCTCAATCGACAGTACATAAATTAGGCATATGAGGGGATTATTTGTGAATAAACAAGCTGTATTGCAATTTTCTCCACTATTTCATATTATGATGGAATTATTGCATTTCAAAGTTATTTCTCATGAATTAAGTTTGCTCCGTTCATGATTTTTTATTTTTCAAAGAGAAAATTTCACACTTTCAATAAAAAATACACAAGAAGATACTTTATGCAAAATTTGGCGTAAACAGTTTTCTTAATTTTGCTTAAGAAATTGAATTGCTTAAGAAATTTTGCTTGAAAATATTCCAGGGCAATCGTTTTCATTACTGGAAGAAATATGAAAAACAGATTTACTACATTGTGTCAACACCCAGTATGCCTTTAGTCTTTTGAAAATGTGAAAGATTACTCTTTCTAAAATAAATTAGAAAATATATTATATGCAAATAAAATATTCATTGAAAATGAAATAGACTTCAACCTTTGGATATAATGATGGTTTTAGGTGAAATTTCTGCCTATGAAAGGAAATTGACATATAATTCTTCAAAAACATTTAAAACTGTACTGAAAAGTACTTTTGATGATTGCATGTATAGGTCACAGATAATTTTTTTTTTTTTTTTTTTTTTTTTTCCCTCTGCTAACATAAACAAAAGCCAATTTTACAAAGAAAAATTCTCGTTAAAGATGTACCTCCTTTGCCTGATAGTCCAATGTAATATTTGTTAAAGGTTAAATGATGAAACGCAACCAATGTATCTCTGGTTTTCTTTTTTACATGATAATAACAAAATTATCGAAAAAGCAGATTTAAATTTTGTTATGTAAAGCTTTATTATTGATGTAAGTTCATCTCAAAATCTAATTGTATTGAATCTCATTTTAATCATCTAATAGTAATAGATATTATTAATGAATTTATTATTATTTCATTAAATTAGTCATTACCATTATTTTGTTAATGAAATTATGTTATTAAAAATCGCATTCCAACCTGCAGACTTACAAAGCTAGTTCGTATTTATTATATTTTGTAAAATTTTGTTTTTGTTTTCTAATTTCTAATACAAAAATGTGCGAATGTAAATGAAGTGTGAAAACAAAGTTATAAAATTCACAAATTATTGCAGAGATTAATCAGAAATAGTAAATGAAATATAAACATTGCATACATTTTGTTCTAACTAGAACTTCATTTAAATAAAAGCAAAATAATCATAAAAAAAATCGCAAATCTAACAACCCATCTACTATGGAACAACGTCCGACAAAAATGTAAATTTTACTGCATCCATGGAGAAGGGACTAACGACTTTTCTCATTAGGAAAATGTCAAAGAGGGGTCAAAAGTTGTTTTGGACCTGAAGGCTATTGTTGCGTGCGTACAGGTTCGTTTGGAATTGAATGCACAAGTCCGATGATAAATGAGTAAGATTTATTATTATCACAAATAAATAAAACACAATACTTCAATTTTCTCAGATATTCATACAGTATTACAATATCTTTTAACTACTCAAATGTTCAACAGAACTTAATTCAAAACAGTTACAGAAAACTAATCCGCCAATTCGCTACAATAAACAAGAGTAGTTTGCTAAACAAACTCTTAAAACAACAATAAACTAACTAAAATCACATGAACTGAGAGGTTTTCCTCCTTTCATAAGATTTTAAATCGCACGCGAGAATTTTCTGGAACTTTCTCAAAATCAAAAAGAGCTATTTATTTATTAAATGTTAAATGCATGTGCTCTTGTATTTTTAATTTTCCATCTTAGCTTTCCTTTAATATTCATCACGCGCTACACTGCACGGGGAATATAAACAATTTAATTTATAATTCAACTAACATTAGCTATTTAAATACTAAATCCGTAACACTGTCCCCTTCCCGAGGACTGCATGTCCTGGGGAGTATATTCCTGGACAGGAAGCCAAACATACAACTAAGGCATAAATGCAATAATAAAAATTAAATTACAATAACAACCAACATGAATAATAAATGCAATAACTGAAACAAATCAAATGTTATCAAATAAATACAAATCAAATACTAAATACACATTTAGAAACAAAAAGGACCATGGTCTTACACTATTTACAATTGTTTACATTACTAACTATGGCCATAGTAATTAGCTAACTTGTGTTAATGAACGATTTTAGGTTTAGAGTTCCGACGGATCCGAACCACGACGTCATTCAGCCTGTTTAGGACTGTGTGGGGACCATCCCTAGGTGACTGTAATTTAGGCCTGACTCCTTTTCGTGCAATCGGGTTCCACAACCACACCTTGTCTCCTTTGTTGAATCTATGTCCAGTAGCTCTC